GCAGGTTATAGATTTGTTCCACATTTTTATCTTATCTAAAGTCAGAAAACATCAAAGTAAGATGTATAACAAGGCTAATCTTATCTCTTGTACCTCCTAGCTGTCTCAGCTCTACAACTCTGTGTTCTAATCTCCGTTGGCTAATTTTTCCCTGTTTTAAAATGTTTCTGTTGTAGCAGCTGTATCTAAGACAGTTTTTATTGTGCATGTGGAAAAGTACTGCTGGTCTAGTGAATGAAAATAGATGTCCAATCTGCTGTAGTGCAGGCACCTGTATTTTAAGGGGAATGACAACAGAAAAAAAGTATGGTAAAACATAGACCATTTCTGGCAGGTTTAATGAATGAATAATGCTAAATACTATTGCTGGTTTTGTTCTCCTATGTCAAGCCTTACAGCTTTCCTCATTTCCTTTTGTATAGAACTACTTTGTGAAAGCTACACTGCATGCCTGGGCTGTATAACTTTTTAATAAAATCTATCTATCTTTCACATGTGAAATATTAAAATCTTGGATATAACGCCTGATACAGCGTCAAAGGAGAACCACCCTAATTGATGTCTGTTCATTCAATCAAGTCTGTAGCATGACAGAAATGATGAATATCTGGTTTTTTGTAAGACAGGAGACACCAGTACCCTTTTGTAACTTTTTTAATCTCAGACTTTGATAAAAAGTATCTTTATGGTTTACTAATGGGTGTCAGTGAATTTCAGGACATTCATAAATCTGTGTTTTTCTGTTGTAGGAAAGGGACAAATTCTACTTGACGCGCAGTGTCATATTGGAGTTACTGCAAGCACTGAAGTTGAAGTCACCCTTACCAGACATGAATCTGCTACTGTTGGTGCAGGTACAGGAGATTCTCATGTAATTCTTATACTGATCCTGTCTCGGCCCAAATTTGAGGCAAGGGGAGAGAAAAGGCAAGTCCAACATGGTTGCATAAAGTACCAGCAATGTCAGGGGAAGCAAGAATTTTTTGAATAAAAATCCAGTTACATTTATAACCATGGGTGCATACATTTAGACTCCTACACTAAAATTTAAGAAACTAAATTGGGAATCCACATTTCAAAGAATGATAATGACCTGTGTGTCATTGCTGACATATTGAGGATCATAGAATATATCTCAAATTGGAAGGGACCCATAAGGATCGAGTCCATTGAGCTTCATACCATGTCCCAATGGGGCAGCTGCCCCAGCTGCTGCCTTGTCTTCATATCATAGTCCCAAAGCCAGTGAGCGGTTTGTGTGGGAAAGGGTTCTAGCAGATCATGGGCCAGAACTCAGTTTCTATCTATTCGGGCAGTATTCAGTCTTCAGTCCTTGAAGCATGTTCTCTTTTAACATGGAATTTTCCATCAACGAATACATAGACAATATTTCTGTTCCTTTCATTCTGCGGTTAGTTCAGGTAGGAGTCAAGCTAGCTTTTTCATAGGAGAATCTGAGGAAGTAAGATACAAACTCGTGAAAAATCTTTCTGCCTCCAAAATGCCAAGTGTGGCACTGTGTGGCACCTGTAAAAACAATTTGCTGAAGTCCATCAATTTTAATCACAGGTAGTGAGCTCTCATTGCTTACAAAGAGTGAACCATTCACACTGTTCAGTAACTTTAAAGGATAGAGGACCTGCATAACAGCACTCTGTAAGGTTCAAGCAAGGTGTTTGTTATGTAGATCATTCATAATGCTCCTACCATCACAGCTCCATTCACTCTTTCACATTATGGGGTCAAAGCTTCATATAGCTTACTATGGGCTCGTTTTCTTTTGAGTACTGGTACATTACTCAGAGTAAGTAAGTGGTTGCCACTTGACAGAGAAATAATACTGACAGGTGAAATTATATAGCAGTGAGGATAACTGAAAACAATTATTATGCCATCAGTGTTCGGGGAAGAAGTTGAGGTGGGGAAGAATAACACTTGTGGGTTTTTTTATTTCAATAGTAAAGGTTTGTTTTTTTTTTTTTTTTTAAATCCTTTTGAATTTAAAAAGCAGAAATTTACCTTTTTTTTTTTTTTTTTAAGCCTAGACTTCTTTTTTTTGGATCCCAGCCAAGACCCTCAAATAACTTAACAACCACCAACCTCTTTCTGTCTTATGGGTGCAGTGATGCAACTTGATATCATGTGCATTGGCGTTTCTTTACTTGAACTGACTTTTCCTGTATTATAGAATAAAGCAATTTTTCTGCATTGCTCCATTGTATAGCTCAGTCCTATGGCTGCCCCAAAGGGTGACAATCCCACAGTCTAGTCAATCCTGAAGTGCTCATTTGAGAATGCAAACATGCCACATCAGTTTTGGCAGTGGGATTTAACTGGTAAACACTTGTCCTTCACATTGCGTCAATCGCCTGATAAACACAGTGAGCATGACTCCTTTACATTATTTTTATCTTGTAAAGATAAAATGATAATTGCCTGGATTTTCCTTCTAGCACTGTTCCCATATGCTGTATTCACTTCGGGATGTATTCATACCTTACACAACAGCACCTAATGTGGATATAAAAGTCTCTCATGATGTCTGTCTTTCAGAGACTGACGAAGTGATTCATATTTCCTGCTATCCAAAGCAGCCAGCTTCTGGTTTTATGCAGTCAATGGTAAAGAATAGGGGTTGTATTCAGACCATCTGCCATAGATGCCTACTGGAGGCATGATGACTACTTCTCCCATTGACTGTGCAAATTGGCAGTCCTTGGTAGTATGTGGTCTGAATCACTCAACAGCCTCTTGAATTTCAATACCAGTAACCACTAAGGCCATTTTAAGCACCATTGTAATTTAAGAAACCTACTAGTAAAAACACGTATGTATCTGATTATTTTGATTTCCTTAGTGTCATTAATAGAACAAAGGGATTGGTTCACCTCTTAACCACAGAAAAACAGTACAGTATTAAAACAGATCAAATGATTTTGAATCCATAAAGCTGTAACAGGTTTAACACAGCACCAAACGGAAATGGTTTTTATTTCTAAGGCAGTCATGTTCCCATGGACATGTTAGCCTGTATACAAGATTCTGTACAGACATAGCACACAGAATACAGAGATTCAGTCAAAATGTTCAAGATAACAAAGGAGCTAGCAGCACTTTAATTTAGTGATAGATCAGTCGTGGGCTGACTAACAAAGGAATTCCTAGGAATGTACATTTGACACCCACATTCATCCAGATTACATGGTGCCATCAGTGTCCCTGGTGACATCGGTGGTAAGATGAGAGTTAACTTTGTCCCACTTTACAAAGAACGAGAATTTTAACCAAATTACTCTAATCATTGCATAGGTGTCCTGGATGATAAAGGATACAAAAATTGGTTTGTCCTAGCAAATGAAAGCCATCATGAACATGCTGCTGTTCCATGGGTTTCCATAGGAACTGCTTCTTCTCCCAGCATTTTGTTTCACGCACTTTTCTGCAGCTTACATTTTGCCAGCACCCATCTTCAGGATTTCCATTGGCTTCAAATTATATTAATGTCTCATTAGGATTTGCTTGCTCAGTCAGGCTGTAAGGTTCAGTGTATCCGATGTGTTTTGTTTATGTGATTCCTATTTTGGGCTGAACTTTCAGCTAATGAAAATCAGTGTATATCTAGTGGTTCCAGTTTATGTTTCTGTGAAGATCTGGCCTACTAATTACTGAATGGAAGCCTTTAAAGTTACATATAATGTGTTTATAAGAATATATATTTTAAAAACTGTGACTATGAATGGAAGTATAATATAGATAGATTATGGTATATAGATAATTCACTACAGTCAGCAGACATTCCCATATGAACACTATTCTGCAGCTGTATCTCAGCAGACAATGCTAGTAAGAGGCATGGCAATTGTTTGCCCATTTGTCATCTTTTTGCAGTATGAGGGTATTTTTCTTTCCTTTTTTCTTTACATATGGGTGGCATTAAATCTTTTGCCAGTGACGTCTTAGTAGAGTGATACAACATAAATGCCAGTGAATTGGACTGGAAATGTAAGAAATTTTTCTTTTTGAGTTTTGTTTCCCCATCCTCTTTTGACTGCATTGCAACTTTAGGAAGGATCATTGGAACTAGCAGTCTGATGATGAGGAAGATAAGCTAAACAAGGCCTAATTGTTCATTAGAAATGGAATGGAGTTTGTCAGCTGTTTTTCACATACAAAGTAATATTTGTTATTTGACCCAAACTCCTCTGTGCAAAAGAAGTAGAAAGCTTACAGGAGGCCAGTAGAGGTTGTTTGGCTGCTGCTGCTTATTATTGTTCTTAAAAGATGATGTTGTCTGAAATAAATGACATTTGTCTTTGGCAAGTGTTTTTTTTGACTTATATGGTGAGTGCTGTACAGTGTCTGTAGCAGTGCACTGAACTCACTGATAGATGCTAAATATACTCAGCCAGATTCTTCAGGGAATTATGGTCCTTTTTTTGTAGCTGATGTAGTTCAAGGGAACCCTAAACTACACACAAATGGTTGACTGGGAACCCTAAACTACACACAAATGGTTGACTGAGGAATCCTTCATGCAGGAAGACAACCTATCTGTTGTCCAGTGGACCCAGCATCAGCTTTGCTCTTTCTGAGACAGGGTGCATTAGGAGAAATCTGTTATCTCTTTGCATAAGTCTATTAATCGTTGTCCTTTTGAAAGAGAAGTGGAGAGTCATGGTTGCTGTTTGAACTAAGACTCGACTGTCTTTACTGGATTAATACAGCCCAGAACCCTAAGGCTTTCTTTTGCTTCCCATGTAATGATTAGACCTGTGGTACAGAAGAGCACCAGGCCGTTTCTTGACTGAAATACGAGTTAGATTCTTGTTTTATTTCCATTTGTCTTACCCTGGTGTAAATTAAATTCTAGCCAGAAGAAGAGGCAGTTGGAGTCAGGCCTATGTCTGAGGCTACCTAATTAGGTTATTATTCTGAATTCAAGTATGTCCTTCTGGTATTTATCCCAAAGAACAAGCTCTTTGACCAAGACATAGGTTGAGTAGTTTCCAAGTCTTGGTAGGCAGTCTGAGTTCAGATTAAATCTGTCATTGAAAGCTCATGGAAGTGTAAGAGTAAATTCTAGGTCTATAGAGGATATGATATTTGGAAATATTTTCAATAAGAGCAGTCAATCATTGAGAGTACTGCTAACACACATGCATGAGATAATTTTAAAATATATTGTGTAGTCAATATTTGTCTCAGTTTGTGAAGGTACCACAGTATTCATTATCAAGAAAGAACATTAAGGCTTAGATCTTAGTTTGACAGTTCTTTTCTGTCTGCTCTTTCTTAGAAAGTTACATTGCATCACTACGGGCAGAAATTGCTCAAGTGCAAATACAGCATTAGGACAAGTTTTAGGAACAAGCAAATCATCTGCTGGGTGTCAAATGCATTATTGAAGGTTCTAATAATTAATTAACAGTATTAGCAGGTCTAATGTATGAATGGTATGGACATCAGAGATTTTGGGTCAAGGGATTTGGAAATAAAAATAAGCAAAAAAAAAAAAGCAAGCAAGGAAAATAAAAGCATAAGAAAATAGCTTACTGTAACAGAATGATACTGACCTTCTCTCAGAAACAGCTTGTACTTTTGTAGTATTGTGGCCTGTATTATGCAGAAGTTATACCACACCGTACCAATATGTTCTCAACTTCAAAATTGTTCATATAATTCATCATTGTAGAATTTCAGTGAAAGTATTGCATGCTGCCTTATCATCCTCTATTGTGATTTAGTCTATAATGAAAAAAGAACATTTGATGTATGCAAGGAATAACAAAGTTATATGTTTTCACTCATAAAGAAAATCAGATTTATTATATAATATTCTTCAAACTGCTTCTGCACAACATATGTGTTAATTAAGCACATTAAAGTCAGATTTTTTTTTCATTAAAATGAGCTCATTTATAATGGTGAGTTAACTAGGCTGTTTATAAAGAAAGAGAGCTCTAAAGGCAAATTACCATGAATAAAAGCAAGAAGAGATCTGAACTGATTTTAGTAAAGTCATGAATAACTTATTAGTGTCTTCAGGTTCCTCTAAAAATAATTAAAAAATAACTTGTCTTTAATTTCTTCTTAGTTTGTTTGTGCAGATGCTGGAACAAAACTAGCTGAGTCTACAATCTTGCATAAACAGATGATTGCCTCTATGCCTGGAGTAAGTACTGAGTCAAACTCCATCTCTTAGTTTTGGCTTTTAAAAATATATCTTATTAAGCTCATTTTGCTTCATTTGAATGTTCTTTCCTTTTCATGTCTCTTTTGGGTGGCGAGGTGTGTTGCAGACAGAGCTGTTACAAGGATATGATAGGAAAGTGATCATTTTAGAAGAAATCATAATCAAGTTGCTTGCGGCTTGTGTGAAACAAAATAGATGGTTGGAAAGAAGTCTTTTGCAACAGGGCATTATTATTCAGAGGTCTGAGTATAGTATCTTTTATAATTCTATTACTCAGTATTTTAGAACTTTTAGAACCTGTGGAATCCTTAGTCCACATAAACTGGATGGAGGATGTGCTGACAAGGCTGCCAGTGACCTTATTTTACTGTTTGTTATTCTGTCAAGAGAACTGATAGGCATAGCATTTTAAAAGCCAGAAGGTGGTATAGTTCAACACCATGTAGACTGATATTAACAAAGAAAAATGAGAAGTGCCTAGGTCAGTTGCTTAAAAATAGAGTGCTAGCAGTTTTTCAAATTTCAGCCACTAAAACTCAATTATGGCTTAATAATGTTGTGATCAAAACTAAATCTCGTTCATTTGCTTACTCAGATATGGTAATCAACTTCTGTGCTTCAAAGTGTAGGTAGTTAAATAGAGGTCAAAGAAGAGTTGTTGTTTTCCCATGTAAACTTTACTGCAATATTTTGCCTGAGCCTATGACTTTGGGTACAGTAGTTTTTGGCAAATTCAAAAAGGTACCTAATTTGATAATTTCATCATATGGCCTCTAAAGTTAAGCATTGCTTTTACTTGGCTCCTAAGAATGAGGCATTCATAGTTCCCCTTGAATTCAGCTAGCATTATCTTCATCTCGGATTATTAACATAGAAAAATAAGTTTATATGATACCTAGTCAGTCAGTCGTATCACCTTCTGAAAGCTGTTCTCCAGGGTTATCTGGTCTGTTGGAAGCCTTTATTTAATCTGACAGCTTTGTTCCATTGACTGCTTTGCACACCTTGGACATGTCTTGTGCAGTTTGAAGGCCAGATTCGCATTTCTTACTGTATTCTAGGAAAAGGATTATGAAAATTTGTACTATGTGAATACAGCAAGCACTACACAGAGTCCTTTTGTTTTCCCTTTGAGGTCATTCTTGCTCTGGCACAGGTCGCTTCTCAGTGCTTGCACCTTTGTGGTCAAATTGGAGCAGTTAGTGAAGGATTTCATTTATCCCTTATAGCTCTTGCATCCTCTTTTGAAAATTCCAGCTGATTTGAGTGCCATTATAATGCTGTATTTTGAATGATTTTGCTACAGAAGTATGTCAGAAACCTTTGTTAGTTTAAAAATAAAATAATTTCAGTGGTGTTCATTTTAGTGATGTTTGCACATGAAATACATGAAGCTAGTCATTTGAACTGTTTTTCTGTCATGGTTAATGTGAACATAAGGGCATCTGTGCTTATGACTGAATTTTGTTTTCTGGGACTGTAGCTGATTGGTTCCACTTGCAGAAATGCTCAGCTGCTTGAAGAACCAATTTGTTAAACTCTCATCAGCTTTTTAAGACTTTGATTCTGGGCCACTGTATATTTCAGGATGAAATGACAGGGATATTCTTGAAAGTTTCATCAGTTAATCTTTTATTGCTGTCACAGATAAAGAGTATTTTATGATGCATGAAGAAGCAACAGTGAGTGGGCTATCTTTTTATACTATCACCAGATAAAAGGGCATATTACGGTGAGAAGAAAAACATCAAATAATACCTATTCTTAATTCAAGTAATTACTCTAACAAGAAGTAAAATAAAGAATGAGACAGACAAATTGTGTTCTGCTGAACAAAAGGCAAAGACAAAAACATGAACCTATTCAAAACCTGGTGCTTAAACTTATTTATTTTATATTCTAGTGTGGAACAGCAGCAATGGAATGCATGAGGCAATATGTTGGGGAGGTGCTGGATTTCATTGCAGATATGCATACATTAACCAAATTAAAGGTTGGTTCTGGGCATACATTGATTGAAAGTGTATGTGTTTGGTTTTGGTTTTGTTTTGTTTTATTTTTTTCCAATATTTTCTGTAATTAACCTGCCTGGGAGAAATGGTTGGAAGTCTTTGAGGATGACTGACAGTTTTTTTTTTTCTTTTTAAAAAATGTTAGTACTGTTATAGATTAGACACTTCTGAGGGATTGGTAAAAAGTAGTTTATGCAGTGTTGAAATGAAGGCTGATTCAAATATGGTGAGCACACAGTAAAAATGCAGGCTTGATTTTTCTGAAATGTTGATAATGAACTAATGCCATGCCAAAATCACTGTGAGAACTAATCATGTTTAAAAAACCCCATGGAAACATAAAAATCCTTGACTCTAAAAGTAATTATACTCTTCTGAAGGAACCGTGTCTCTGCTGCCACAAACAGGCACTTAGAATCATGGAATCGTTTCGATTGGAAAAGACCTTTAAGATCATCAAGTCCAACCATTAACCTAGCACTGCCAAGTCCACCACTAAACCATGTCCCTAAGCACCACATGTACATGTCTTTTAAGTACCTCCAGGGATGGGTGACCGAACCACTTCCCTGGGCAGCCTGTTCCAATGCTTGACAACACTTCAGTGAAGAAATACTTCCTAATATCTCATCTAAATCTCCCCTGGTGCAAATTGAGACCATGTCCTCTTGTCCTATTGCTTGTTACTTAGGAGAAGGGACCAACACCCACCTCACTACAAACTGCATTCAAGTAGTTGTAGAGAGCAATAACGTCTCCCCTGAGCCTCCTTTTTTCCAGGCTAAACAACCCCAGTTCCCTGAGCCACTCGTCATAAGACTTGTTCTCTAGACCCTTCTCCAGCTTTGTTGCCCTTCTTTGGACACTTGAGTTAATTGGAAGTTCAGAGATTATTAAAATCCAGTAATTGACCTAACAAAAAAAAAAAAAGCTGTCCTTTTTCTTATAGATGCTGTTGTTTTCATTGTCAGGTTATATTCTGTTGGGGTGCAGAAAACTGAGTACTTCTTACCTCTGTAGTCCAAACTGCTTTTTGGTTTCTGTATATTAGTTTGATGCCAAATTTTAAGAGGAGTGATGTGAAAATAATTTGGTGAATATAAAATGTTTTATTTAGAAATGAATTTCGTGAAAACATGTTAGTAATTAGCTGGTCAAAACCTGGAATTTCTGTTTCATGGTAAAGTGGGTATCTATTAAATTTCCTATATAATGGGAATTCTTTAAGATGTTTTAGAAAAGGGTTAGGTGAAGTAACAGTGCTGCTGTATAATAGGACATGACTGTAGTCCTACAGTTTCAACTGCTGTCAAAGTAGCATCTATTGTTAACAGCTTAAATAAAGAATTAATGTAATGTTTCAGCTAATATACCACTAATGGTCGGTCATAATGCTGTGGAGGGGGCAATATTATTTATTCTATTTAGCACAACACTATCCCAATAGATAGTTTTGTCATACCATCTGAAGCTGAGTATGAAGTGAGCATGGAGCTGGAGGTGAAACTTTGGTGGCTGAAATCCTTCTCTCTGTGGAGGGAAAACGCCTGTCTTGTAGTAGAGCCATCCAACTGTCACTTCTCAATGCCAGGCAAAGTTAGAGGGGTGGATTTCCCTTCAGCGTGCAAAAGGGAGGCAAAAGTGTGGCTAGGCCTTGATGCTTCTAACTTCTGCAAAGCTGGCAAGATGAATGATGTGGGAGTGCAGCAGAGGGGCCATTCCAGATATGGAGGAGTCTGTGCTGTGCAGCAAATTCTGAAATCTGACAGCAGAGTTGTAGTATTTCTACACCAATAACTTGGTGATCCAAAGGGAAGTTCATCAACTGAAAGAGGTCATTTCATCACTGGGCACAGACAAGTAGCTTTTATGGGATCTAAAGCTCAGTTGACAGATACTGAAAAACAATGCTGTCCAGTTGGTCCTAGTACAAATCATATTGCCATTGCTTACATGCCTGGGCTTTGCCATATGTGGTCTTGCAGGGAAGTTCTTTGAGCAAGCTCTTGCATTTGTTTCCAACCTCAAGAGCCACTGTGCTTCTACAACACAGAGTACATCTGCTAGTAAAAGGTGTTGATGATCTGTTTTCCTAAGAAATCAGTGTTTCCCTGAAAGGGGCCCTCTACTATTGCACCAGTCGTCTTCTGAAAGTTAGTGGCAATGCACTGGAGTGTTTCATGCCACGAATTCCTGCAAAGATTCTATGGCAGGCAAAACAGAATAAATGATAACTTGTAGTGGATTTTGATACTGGAATTTATTTATGAAGCGACATGATGAAAACTTTTACCCTACCAGTTTGTCTGGCACACTTGCTCACTCCCTCTCCCCTGCCCCATCCACCCCACCTCATGCACCAAAGGGGACACCTCATTGCAAGCTAATAACACTTACCACAAAGGAGGAAGAATCCCAACTAAACTGAAACTCATGTCTCTTGAAACTTACAGTAACCTCGTGTTACTGGACAAAATAGCTCCTTTGTAAGTTCTTACTCTGTTGGCTATATGCCTTGAATCCCATTGAGTTTTAAAAAAATACTATAATAAGGGAAGCAACCTATTGCGCTGGAGTAGAAATCTACTTCAAAGCACAAACTAATTAAGTATTTTAAGCTGAATTGGATGGCCTTCCTGCTCTATCCTTTATTCACCCATTTCTTTTCCAGTTCAGAACTACTTTCAGAATAGGTAGGCAAATGAATCATAAATGAGGGAGACACATATCCGGTTTGCCAGTTCCACAGAAAAACATGAACATGACTGAAACCAGGAATGGGGAAATTTTATTTGTGAATACTTATAGGTATCTTCTTTCCTGTGAAAAATATTTCTGTAGAAAGCTCTCTGACATTTGCACTTTTTCCTTGTGCCCCTTCTCCCTGGAACGGTAGCCTCAATTTTAGAAATGCTCTTACAATGCTTAGGTCTGGTAAAATGGTAATTTCTTGTGCTCTTATTTATTTCATACGTTTTTATACACAGCTGTAGCTAGGACATGAACTAAACCTTAACCTAGTTCTTCACTTTTATGTTTTGAAATTAGAGAGGAAGCTCCCCAAATGTGTAGTCTGGGCCATTTAAAACTAAATCAGAACCAAACTGTCTAAAATTTCATGTTGTTTTGATTCAGCCATGTAATACAGAAATCTGAGAACAAGATTGACATAGTAGGAGAGTCAAATATGACCATAATTTTATATATTGTAAAGAAAAAGCTTTGACTGTCTTTGGAAAATGAAAGCCAGTTCTTGTTTAACCAGACCAGATAAACTTATTCTATGGTTCCAACGTAGTTCAGAAAATATTATGAACATTTCTAAATCTACAGGTAGTCAGAACTTTAAACAAATTTACAACATCTAGATTCATGTTCTTGTAAGCTGATTTAATATATTTACTTATGTTGCTTGGGTTTTATTAATAGAGATGTTCCGAGGAAGTGAGTCCTAAGATTATCCAGTTGTACAGTTTCTTACTATGAGTATGCATCTTGATCAACAGCATCTGGACTATCAAACTAACACAAAGAATACTATATGATTTATACAGCCAGTAACAATCCCAGCAGAAAAAAGTTTAATTTTGGTTTTCAGATTTTGAAATTTCTACTGTCTGTAGAAATTCAGTGAACTAAAATAGTTAAAATTGTTTATTCATTTCCAATGTCTTATTTTGCGTGTCTGAGAATAGTTTCTTTGAAATAGGTTAATTATTTTCAGTCCGGTGTGTTAGCAACTAACTGCATTATAAACAAGATATAAATGTTAATTCTCAAGATAATCACATTTCAGTTTATTGTTTCTGTTCAGTTTATTATCTTTTTTTTCCTTTTGGGATAACATTTTAATTGGTAAAGCTCAGAAAGGTTTTATTTAGAAAATTCTACCATTTTTAAACAAGTACAATGCATCTGCCTGCATACCTGTCTAGCCTTTTTACCTTCCTCTATAGCAAAGTCATTAGATATTCATGCTGGTACATTACTTTTTTCTTTCTCTTGAAAGACTTCAAGTAAGTGATCTTTGAGAGTGTAAGTTGCTGGGGTCAGATACTTACCTGTTATAAAATATTTCTGGTCCACTGATTTTTATCTTATTGTAATAATTTAATAACTGATGACCTGGATGTTCTTGTGCAAAGCATATGGCTCTCCTTTAAGCAAGCAACTGCACTTAGCATGTGTTCTGACAGTCTAGCAACAGAAGGTAATGCAAAGCTAACTTAATGAGAAATACAGAAGTACCTCAAGAAGCACCAATGAAGCAGTCCTTAGAGCTGACAAAGCAGGATAATAAATTATCTTTCCAGGCATAAATATTTGCATGTTTCCTGGTAAAAGGTTTAGCCCTTTTATTTCCAGGACTTAAAGGCATTTGTAATAGCTGAATAGTGCAACATAGTCATATCGCCAGTGAATGAGCGGCGGCCTATTTCTGTACGTGTAAATAGAATATTGAACAGGGAAGGCGTTTTCAGCTCAGATGCTACCTTGTTAAATGGTTAGATTCTTTCACCTTCACTTAAACTGTCTAGATATGCAACCATTAGCTTGTACTCATCAGCCGCTGAGTTTGCTGAAAACGAAAGGTACCTGTACATTTTGCATGATTTGCATTTTATGTGGGCTCTTGAAAAGGTGGCCCTCCATGGAAAGATCTGTATCATGTTGCTGTTACTAATATAGGGACTGGAGCATTTCTAAAAATCTGTTTCTGAGATTTGTTCTGTGGGTTTGTAGACACAGTTAGAGACCCTGAGAAAGGAACTGAAGGGAAATGAAACAGAATACGCTGTTGCTTGGAAGAGCTTCAAGTGAAATACTCTTTTCCGGTAGGAAATCAGATCTTTGCCTTACAGAGTCACATGAAGACTTGTTCTCAGCCACTGCACGAAGATACATTTGGTGGACATCTGAAAGTTGGTTTAGCTCAGATTGCAGCTATGGAAATCACGCGGGGAAACCACAGAGACAACAAAGCTGTGATCCGTTATTTGCCTTGGCTTTACCATCCTCCTTCTGCAATGCAACAAGGGTAAGACTGCTTTTCCACAAAAAGGAATGCTAAAATGAGTTAGAAATCTTCACAAAATTCTGTGTTTATTGCCAGATTTCATAGGTAAGACCCGCCGTAGGGAGTGGCCATGAGACATTGAATCAGCTGATCAGCAGCTCCCTGATCCTTAGCTGAGGAATTGATCAATGCAGTATTTAAAGTACATGCCAAAGGGACAGTGGAGGTAACTCCATTGGCTTGACTGGAGTTACCCTGGAAATGAACTTGATTGTCAATGTAGATACAGACAGTGAAAAGCACCTAGCTACTTGATCAGTCCTGTAATTATAGAAAATATCTTGAGAATTATAGAGAATACAATGGGAAATGTCCTTTGAAATTATGGATTACAAATGAGTGTGAACTGTAAGCATAAGCTTCTTCATGTGATGATAAAAACACTAACTTCATTTGGTTAAAGTTAGATGAGGGAAATCCTGCTCATCAAGACATGTTTTTTATCCCTTTTCACTGTGAGAAATCCTAATGTGCGGTGCTTTATCTTCAGAAAAAAATACTGTCCCTTGCCTTACAATGACAATAAACAAGATGTTTTGAGTGTAGACCATTGGACTGTCTTCCAACAAACCTGTATTATTGTCCCAGCTTTGTCCCAGACTTCCCGTCTGAGGATTCTGGAGACTGAGCTGCTTAGGCTCCAGTCCTGTAGATGCATCTGCGTGTAGGTGCTGAGTCCTTGAAAATGACATCAAATTAGAAATTAAAAACAGTAGTGACAGTGGCCTAGTAAGTAATGATTTATTGATTGAAAAACAATTATTTTTTTCCTATGCCTATGAATTCAAATGAGTATGCAATCTGAAATTAGTAGCAGCAAGGGGACAGACAAGATAACACCAGAAAAGTGTTACTCCTTTTTAGCTTATGTAAGTACATTGCTTTACAATTAGACATTGCACTAGATGGTGGACGAATACTTAAGAGTCACAAAAAAGCTTAGTCCCTGCCCTCAAAAGCATGCAATCCGGATGTCTAAGGAGAGGCTAAGGAGAAGAGAACTTCACCAATGGAGAAGTGGAACACAGGAAGTAAGGCATGGTGCTTCCAAGCTTGCTGTGGAACGCAGAATGTCCTGCTGTCACCGTGTAAGCTGTGTGCTGTCCAGAGGAGCTGAGAGGAGCACTTCCACTTGGGCAACCCTTCCCATCTGATGATTTCTGTATAAAAAAATCACTGTGTATGGAACCAGTGAATCTGTGTGTCTTTTAGCTTTTTACAGAGACCGTTTCTTACACCCACCAAATACGTTCTATTGTTCTTGTTAATGGTACATTAAGCCCACTAAGTTCTGTGTGGTTCTTGACTTCCATAAGCTGTACCAATGATCTGTGCCTCCAGCACACTGAGACTGCATCTACAAAGTGTGCATAAGGAGACTCCGTGTTTTACAGAAAACCAGAAAACTTAGCCGCATTGTAAAATGTGCTCTTTCTTGACAGGCCCAAAGAGTTCATAGAATGTGTCTCACACATTCGTTTGCTGTCGTGGCTACTCCTGGGGTCTCTGACACACAATGTTGTCTGTCCAAATTCGCCATCACCTTGCATGCCTATTCCACTGGATGCGGGTTCACAAATTGCTGACCACCTTATTGTTATTCTGATTGGGTTTCCAGAGCAATCAAAGGTAAGAGATTCTGTATTTTAAGTGGAGATGTGATATAATATTGGCCTTATTATAGCAAACATATTTATTTCTTCCTAAGAAAAAGAGAGAAGTAAAACCTTATTAAAACCTGAAATCTAGGGAAATAAATCTCTGTAGTTTTTCTTGCATAGCTGCCTCTTCATGCATAGAAAACTGATAATGAAATCACTACAATTAAGTTTTGAGATTTAACTATTTCAAAATATCTCTGTACAGGAGCAAAGAAGGAAAAACAGAATGCAAAATTGAGGCATAATCAATGGCCATCTCTGTAGCAAATCTCTAGAAAGTTATGTATTCTGGTTGTATAGTAGAATTGGGTAACCTATAAATAATGTCGTGATCAAATTTAATTACAAACAGTGATAGTTCAAGCACAACTTGTCCAGAGCACCTTCAGAAAAAAAGAAGAGTTACTGCAAATCATGAGCCGTTTGTGACAGTAGTTTAACACAGATACAGCAGCATTCTTTGACACCAAGTGGGTTTTTATTAGCAGCAGAAGCAGAATGATCACACATTTGTCTTGCACATAAAATCTCCCCTTCTTTTCCCTCACCTGGCCAAGACACCGGTGCTTCTCATTTGTTTCTTTGGCCTTTTTTTTGCTCTTTCAAATACCTTTTTCCAGTTACGAAGCAACCATTGCAATGTTTGGTGCAATCATACTGCCACAGAGCATGAATCACTGTCACACTTGCAAACTGAGAAAACATCTCTGACTCGAAGTGTCTGTCCCATAATGAAGTAGTTAATGTCCAGCACTCCAGAAAGCTCAGACACTGTGATATTTAACACTTAGTAGCGAAGAGCCATGCTTGGCTTTTCTTGACTGTGAGCAGTTTTGTCCCAGCAAGGCAGAAATGGACAACATAGAACAGAACAGATCTAAGATGGTGTATTTTGTACGATAGCCTTCCTTTCGGGTGATGAGAATGTGAATGACTTATCCCAGCAGCATCTTTGAAATGGTGTTGTATGTGCCAAAGCCTCCAGGCCTTCCACAGATTGCTGTGGAGTTTTCTATCAAGAAGGTCTCAGAACTACTCTCAAGTAGTTGTTCTGCAAAACTAACCTTCTCTTTAAAGGGACTACCCTTCATGCTATACACGAAGATTGCACAGGAGCGTGTGTTTGCAAATGCAGTTGGCTTTTTAAATGTGGAGATGTTATCAAGTGTACTTGACTTACTAGGTCCTAATGGGAGGGAAACATGGGAAAGTGAGGGTGAAGACTGCACATTGGGATGCATGACAGAGGAGTGCTCTGATGAAAGCCTCTGCACTGCACTCCCAATACATTTATTTAAATATTTTCCTCTGTCTTCTGTTTCTACAGACATCTGTTCTGCACATGTGTTCCCTCTTCCATGCATTTATATTTGCTCAGCTCTGGACAGTGTATTGTGAACAAACAGCAGTAGCTCCAACGGTCCAGAATCAGAATGAATTTAGCTTTACAGCAATCCTTACAGCCCTGGAGTTCTGGAGCCGAGTGACACCTAGCATCCTACAGCTAATGGCACATAACAAAGTGGTGAGTCAAGTGCTGTGTACAAATTTAGTACAGATTAAACTTGGAGGGCTTGGCTTTGTTTCAGTGGAATACATCGGACAGTGAAAAATGTCATAAAGCAACTTTGATGCTTTTGCGAATTTAAAGGGGAAGCTCATTGGTAATGATTTAACCTCGCAGTGGGCCTGAAACAGGATCTACCCAGGATCTGCCTGAAACAGAATCAAGAGCTGGAGTTGCTGCTCGTTGAATTAAGTGTTCCCTGCATCAGGTCTTATTTTATATATCTTCCTGCTCTTTACTGGGGTCCTATTGTTTCATCTGACTCTGCCTTACAGGAGCAACTAACTGTTTTAGGATAGTTCTGTGAATATCCATTTGAATGTTTTTTTACCATGTGATGGTGAAAAAATAAATGGATGCTGACACTTGGCTACTTGTAACCCATTGATTACTCATCAAAAATAAGCTACATAAATATATCTGGGAACATTTTTGAGTAAAGAATGACTTGAAGGAGTTATCTCTAGAGATAAGGTTTCAAAGAGAAATGCTCATTCTGTCCAGAAATCATCCAGACCAGTTTTAGAAAATAACTTTTAAGCATTTATTTATCTCAGCTACTCACTGCTGTTGGAGCAGCTTTGTACAATAAGAACCCAGAGGAGTTCCAGCAGCCTTCTCATACGTGCTACTTTTGTTTCCCATTGACTAATGATTCGCTGTGCCTGCAGGCTTAGGATTGAGAGTTTGTTTCTGATGGGCAAGACGTATTGTGTTTCCCACTTCCCAGAAAGTTACGACAAGTCTGTCATGACTTTTCAAACCCTTTTAACTTTAACTGAGATGATAACTAGTAGCACTGGCTCTGGAAAACCTGATATTAACTTTGAGTGAGAAAGATTCCTTATACATGTCCCAGTCCTCTAAGTCAGGTGCTCTTAAGTTTTGGGATTTTCATTCTTTGTTTGGTTGGGTTTTTCTTCTTTTTTAAATGGAGACCTACTATCTGTATGGAAATTATTTTATGTAATTCCCCTTTCCCCATGTGAAACATTTTCCACTCCTTTGCTCTTTCAGTTGTAATCTCATGGGCTGCACTTGAATGCCTTTGAACCAGTTACTATTCCATTGTGTCTTGTCCATATCAGGCAAGGACCACCTAAAGCTGTCTTTAAATGATATTTTACCCTCTGACATCTAGTGAGATCTCTGTGGTTGACAAGTCACTGTTGGGAACAGTAGTTCATGAACCTCCTTTTGAATGAATGGGAAATGTGCGTAACACTTCTAACTAGGTGGTTGTTTAGTCAGACACAAAGGCTTCCTTGTCAAGCCTTAGGACAAGAATATGACCTGGAAGTCCCAAGTTCCAATCCTTATTCTGAAAGTATCTCATTATGTGGCTTTAGTGCAAGCTCTGCCTCAGCTATTGCTCTGTGAAATGTAGATAATAATACTTGCCCGTCTCACAGGGGTGTTGTGAGGTTAATTAGTTAGTGTTTGTAAAGCGCTTTGAAGATGAAAAGCACTACATAAAAGCTAAGTTTATTATTGTTGAGGGGAATTTACACGTAGTTCAGACAGGCACTGTAAATACTCGTTGCTGGCTCAGGATATTTGTCTTGTACCTATGAATTTACACAATATAAAACATAAAATGCTGTCTACTGATAAATAACTGATATTTGCATCTGTCATAATTCATGGTACAAAATGGAAGAATTATGGACTAGCTGCCAGTTCAGAACAATAAATTGTCTTTTGATGGGGGTTGGAAAAAGATGGGGTTTGTGGATATGTTAATTTTTAAAGATTCAGTAAATAAAAATATCAATTTCTGACACACTGATTGATGAGAATTACACAGCAAAGGCATGTAAAGGATTTATGATGTCTGAAAAGAACAAAGGTGAAGGCAACTTGTTTTGATGTGTGATACGAATTAAAATACATCAAGCACTTTGAAATATTTAACAGATAGGTGTTGCTGCATCAGGGGAAAACTGAAGAAAAATATCCCTTATATGGTCACATAATATTTAATCTTCTATGTCAGTGGTTTATAAATGCACATCTAGTGATTCAGTATAACTACCAAGCACATACAGGAAGATCCTTTTTAGAGACTGTTGGCTTAGCCTCCAACACTGTTCTGCTGGACACTAATTTGTTTTTATGCTTGATATTTTTTTTCAAGATGGTGGAAATGGTGTGCCTGCATGTGATTAGTTTAATGGAGGCTTTACAGGAATGCAACTCTACTATCTTTGTAAAGGTAGGCATACCACATCATGAATATTTAGTTAATCATGTTGCCTGTCACGATTTCTAGACATGCTGTCCTCTGCTTTCCCTCCCACTCAAAAAGAGAAAGTGGAAGAAGCTGAGGTTGAATGCTAATGCAGAAGTGAAACCTAGTAGAGCATAACAAAAAATAAAATCTCTGGTAAGAAGTAAGACCAGGCCATAATCTCAAATCCAAGTTCTCCTGACTTTTTTTTTCAAATGGACTTCTGATATACTTCCTCCTTCCATTGTTGCAGTGGTCTTATTCCTCTAATAGACTCAACTGGTGTCACTGACTTCTAGGTACTGTCTGAATTTTCAGCCATTCTGTAACTTTTAGTCATCATAGGTTCTTTGCAGATCACCTCACTGTTCTGATCCTCACATTCTTTTAAGTTGATAACAAAAGCTTTGTGCCACACTGGTTTTCTTGTTACTATATGCCTGTGTTTCTGACTTAGTCAAATATTATTTGATAGTGAATCTTCTTTTATTTCATAGTGAATCTTCTTCCCCTGGGATGTGTAACAGGATATTCTTTGGTTAGAGAATCAAATCCTGCATGCTCCATTCATGTAAAATTTTTTCTTTTTTGACAATCAGTGGTCACCACAGTGTTTTCCGAACAGATTCCCAAAAGATTGGGGTAGCCTCACAAACATAAATCAATTTTACTACCCTTTTTTACATATTTTCCCACTGCATTATTCTGAAGGGAGTTTACACATAAAGTATCAACAAATCAAGTAGTTAAATGGGCTCTGAATCTAACTGAAATATATTGATTTATCTAGTTCTTCTGTTGCCATGAAGGAAACTTCTGACTGTTGTTTTACTCCAGTCTTTTATGGTCAAGCAGGAATTGAAAATAAAGTAGCTAAAATTGAAGGTCTTGATGTCAACTGGCATGAAAGTATTCACACTCATTGTGAAAATACAGATTTATAGTCAGTAATGACTTGATTCACTACAGAAACTCTGTCGCTATAGGATGTTAAAGTGATCATGGCTGTCCCTGGAAGACATATGGGCTTCTCTTTCAGCCAGTCCAGCATGTCCAGAATTTGACAAGGATGAAGAATGACTTTAAAGCTGTGAAAAGAGAGGCCTTAAAGGCCAAATTCCTGTCACGATTCAAATAAACGCTTTCAGGGGGTTATATTTCAGAGTGTATGACAATAATAGGCTAAATCAGGTTAAAAGGACATTGTTGTTACTACAAAATCAAGCTCATAAACCTGTGAAATACAGAGTTAAGATGCTAAGCTTGCTTTCATGTTCAGTGGATGGGAGACAGAAGAGAAGAATCTGGGTGACCAAATCCTCTTTACTTAGCCCTAAAGTGTAATCCTGCAGGAACAATATACGTACATAATGGTATTGTAGGATTCATAGTCCCAGGTTACTATTTTTTTTCAAAACTATCTAATTGTAAAAATATTTATTGTAGATCTGAAAAGTAAGTGTCATGATTTGGAGAAAGACTTACTGTATGTTTGAAGTCCTTCAAAGAGGCAGAAGTGCAAAGCTTATTCACACAGGAACCAGTAAGTGAGTGGCATCTCTATAATTAAAAAAAAGATCAACTTTCAGTCTGTCTCTTCTTCAGTGGCTGTGAAGAAGATCTGAACTTTGTTACTCCTACTTCAGAAGTCTGCAAGGATGACAATTCTTTGAGTATTAGTTGACTGGGCAGATTTTTGGTAGCTTGTTTTATTCTAGACAATCTTTTATTGTCTTGCCTTTGATAATGAAACAATTTTATCTTGTGCTTTAAAGCTTTTTTTTCCCTTTTATTTCAGATATAAGCCTCTCAAATAAGGTTTAGTTTTCACTGAAGGAAAGGACATAGTGTAGTGAGAGAGATTTTTTTAAACAGAACATTCTTAACACTCTTTTGGAGACTCATTCAGTAAAATTCATAATTCCCAATGACTTCATCTTGGAACTGAGCACAGCAACACTAATAAATCCTGACTGTTTATCATCCATGTAATTATATTTACTGCAGTGTCTTTTATTCCACCTAAGGAGTCAGGTGCTGCGAAAACTTCATTTGTTAATGAAGTCATTGCATGATTCAACACACACACATTTTTAATGCACCACAGTGAGAAGGTGGTGCGTGTCACCATGATGCCAGGTGGTTTATGGGATAGCTATCTTTGGTTGCCATTTTCTGTATGACGAGGGGAAAATAAGTCCTAAAAGAAGAGAAAACGAGAAGATGTAAATAATTTGGCTTTCCTTCTCTGAAAGAAGAGCTTTCTTTATGCCTGAGATAAGTACTCCTTCATCTCCTCCTTGTGTTGGTGCTGTGAGGTTTCTTCCTCTTCATACTGCATTGGCCTTTGCTATTAAATTAAACTCACACTGATAGCATCGAGACATGTCTTGATTGCTTCCTATGGTCTTTGAGCCATTCCCTGTATTCTCAGAGGGTATTTTTTTTTTGATCTAATGTTAGGCTATCTTTACCAATCTGGTAAGGAAAACAAAGTTTCCTTTTTGTGAAAATGTTTCAACCGTTACATATATATTTTTCTTTCTAACTTAGAGTGAGATATATATACATACACATTTACAGATGCACACATACCCACATATATTCATTATATTTTCCTTTAAGGAGAAGCATTCTGCTGTAGAAGGGCTGAAATTAAAGTGTTCAGTTTTCCTCCTGTTTTTCTGTGTCTAAGGAACTGGGAAACTTGCCATCCCAGGACAGCCATTGATGATGGAGACCAGCTCCTTGCTGATCACAACTCTCTGTCTAACCATCAGATGGGTGTCTGAGGAATTTGGGAGCCTGAAGTAGTGAAGGGAGCCGCTCAGCAAACCACAACATCTTTTCCAGAGACCCAGGAGTTTAGGCAGCTCCAGCAGCTGCTGGGTAGACTTCTAGAGAACTGGGCAGGCAGAAGAGTTGGGGAGCCAGAAAAGCACAGTGACCAACCTGCTCTTCAGCCTTGTTTCCATCAAAACTTGCACTGGAATCAATGTAATTCTGTTGAAAATATAAACTCTGAAAAATTGACAGTGCCTGACAGCGGTCTGTTCTTCCAGCTGTTCTTTCTAACTAGCTTTATGTATTTTTCCTTTGTGAAGAAAAGGCTGGCTGGGGATTAGGTAATAAAACTCAAGTGCTTCAATAAAAATGTCTTCTTGTCTCATTTATCTAACTGGCAGCTGTGGGAGTGGAGAGCTTGTTTGCTTGTGCCTGCAGCAGAATGTTTTGCTTCCCTAAATGTGTCCAGACCCTGAAAGACAAGTGGCGCTGGAGGAGGATGATCTGTATCTAACCTTAGCCCTCTACAGCGTAGGTATCAATATGAGCTAGTTTCCATGAGTGCCCTTCATAGTCAGTGGAGATAAACAGGTGTTTTTGGACATGATTCACCTTGATCTATTTTAGATAACCTGCTTTGGGACAAGATGAACTGGATGTGGCAAGTGCTTGATTCTCTCAACTCTCTGTAAAAGATGCCCAGTGAATTGGTTCAGATGCAGAGGAGTACCCTGAGTTTTCTGCCTAGCTTCTCTCCTTGCTTGACATACTTCTGACACCAGTCCTGTCACCGCTGGCTGGCTCCATAGGAACTTCATTAATACTGGATGAAATTTTCAGTGACTTTTTGTTGATGGCAGTGGAGCATGGCTTCTCAGTATGCTTACTTGTTCCCCTCTCCAAAAAACACTTCAGGACTTGCGGTCACTGGATCTTATTAAGCACTTCATTAGTGTGAGAGCCCACAGAAGGATGTACAGAACTTGCATGTCTGCTGCATCTGGCTGCATTCCAGCTGTTTTGGCATTCATATATCTGTAAATGCTGAGGTTTGAATATGGTTCTTCATGTGTTAGACTAAGTAATCAGTCTCGACAGAGCTGCGTATTATTCTCCAGCAAAACAACACTGAAATTGAAACAATTATCGTTCCTTGCACAGGGATGCAGGACTTTATCTAATGTTGTCAATAGTGATTAGGTTTAACTTGCTGCTCCCGGTAGCATAATTGACAAATTGCAAATTTTAATGCCATTTGGAGAAACATTTTAGAACAATAACCTCAGTGGTTAAATTAATATTGGAGAACGTGAATACTTTTGCTAGAAATGCCTCTCTGTCTTCCATAAGCTTGTCATGTTATACTTACTCAGAAATAAAAGTTCTCTGAAGATCAGGAGACTGAAATACATATCAGTCCAATCATGGGTGACAGATTTGCAGACCTCCTCACCGTGTTGTTCTGGATAGTTAAAGAGTTTTCACCTGTGCTCCCAGGCCTACAGGTCACATTCTCCAGTGAACCACTGATGCGATTAGTGGCTTATAAAATGCTGGTTACCATTTAAATATCTGTCCTATTTTAGGAACTTCTGCTGCATGTTTTTTCAGTTCTTGATGTATACCTTGCCATGCAGAATGTTTACTGTGTTTATTCCAGTATTACTCACCTGCACATACAGAAACACCCTCACGAGGAAAATAAGAAGCCATTTCCTTTAACGAGTTTTTATTCTGTACTCTCATCGTTGCCTTGAACAGGATATCAGTAATTGCTACTGGTGATTCATCAAGCTAGAAACAAGGGAGGCTGGCTTTTTTACCTCTGAGAGTTACCTGCCCCAAAACATATGCACCGTTTAAAAATAACCACTTTTTCAGATTTGTGGTTCAGGTTATGTCCATTTGGGCAGCTAAATGCATTAGATATACCCTTCTCTGTCGCACAGTAACTGGAGCATGTTTACAGTTACTTGTATAGTAACAAAATATACCTCTCTTCTTACAGCTCATACCAATGTGGTTGCCAATGATACAGTCAAATCTAAAGGTAAGTAGTTTCTAGTACGTCATCCTTTTATTCTTAGCGTTACACATTTCTGTGAATTCTAGAAATAAGATCACTAGATGTGGTCTCCAGACTCTTAGAAGATAGATCATTACAGCATATCCAGATGCCCTGGATGGCTCAGGACTGAAGGTCTCAGGTGTGAGCATACATAAGAGCGTCATCAGCTAAGATACTGTCCTGCAGTCAATACTGCTCACCCTTTCCCTTCTGAAACACTTCCGTCTAACCAGCTTCTGCAGCAGAGCCTCTTCTCCCTCTTCACTGAGATTGTTTTTTCACTGAGCTGTGATTTTCTTGATGTCTTAGGCTTGAGAGTCCCCTGACAAGTCTGGGTTGGGACTCTTGACCCAAGAGATGGATTTTGGTTCCACAGCAGATATCGTGGACCTGCTTGCCAGCTGTGCCAGCTGGCCCTGTTTGTAGGAGAGAACAAGGTGGATCAGTGTGATTTGCCAGTCAAGGATTTTGGTGATGAGAATAAAAGTGTTGGAGCTGGTCTCAGTATGGAGTTGTTTTTGTAAAGCACATTTGCCTTTCATGGCATCACGACAGTGTGGGATGTGGAAGAAGGAAATGTGACACTGGGGCAGTGGAGGAACTTTCCCTGGCCAACAACCAGTATGTTTCACAGTGCTGTATTAATACATGTATTAAAGGAAAGAAACTGAATGTTTTGCATTATTCCAACAGCATTTATCTGCCGGACTCCAGCTACGCCTCCAAGCCATCCAGAGCAATGTCAACCATCACAGCCTGAGGATGTTACAGGGGTCAGGACAAATGAACAATAGCTCATCTGTGCTCCGCAAATGGCTACAGTGTACCCAATTTAAAATGGCTCAAGTGGAAATTCAGTCATCTGAAGCTGCATCTCAATTTTATCCTTTATGATTCATGTAATTTTTTCCAAATGTTCATTTTTAGCCTAGCAATAACAGGGTGAGAGCTGTAAAGGACCTTTTGTATAAATCAGTATAAAGAGTATATACTGTATCTATACTTTTTAGCCTAGGACAGATTGTGGAAAAGCTTACAATGGGTGAAGCGAAGAGCCTGATCCTGACGATCTTTAATTATGCTTTCTCAGGATCAACAGGTTCTCAAGTCTGCATTCACGAACATGTATTTGCAGGATTGTACTTAAATCTATCACACTGTACATGTCTCTCTGATCATTGAAATATCTTGTTCTTGAATGTTTCTTTACATTATTTTTGAAGCTAAGACAAATATCACTTTTCTTTAACTTCTATTTTTTTTAAAAATAGAATTGTGGGTATTCACAAACATATGGAAGTGCTACATGCTATTTTTCGACGATAACAAAAGAAAACAGGGTTTTTAAGAACCTTTATAGGAGTGGTTTTTTTGGGGGGGTATCTTTTTTTGGTTTTAGATTCACAGCTGGCAATGCAATAAAACCTGTCACTATAAAACAGTGATGTTCTAATGAGGCTTTTTGTCATCATCTTCTGGGAAAACAGCAGCTTTTAAGGAGAGTTATTATAAAGTGCACTTAGAAATTAGGTTGTTAAACTGTGCCAAATCATTTGTCTTTCTCTTCAGTACTGTTTTCCAAAACTGCCAAGTCTGATTTATTATTTTTTGAAATATTGCTTTTACTTCATTGATTCTGTGCTGCTATTCTTTGTAAGTTTCATAGAAGCTTCCTTAATTTTGTGACTACTGTATTGTATTCTGTCAATACTTATATACTGTGCAATTAAAAATGGATATCCTAGACCTGTTCTTTTTGATGTCTACAGAAACCATGTTTCAGCCTTCAAAAGAAGCGTGATTGGACCTGAACTTTTGCATAATATTTACAAATCACAGCATTTGCATACCATTGTATTAAACATGATGTTTAATAACAGATGGATTTTAATATCATTAAGGGACTCAGCCAAAGCCCATTGGAATCTAAGGAGACTCATTAATTCAGTGAATTTTACATAAAATCTTAGAGCACCGTGATTTACCACCTCTTGTAATTAATACTTAAATCTGTGCAATCACAGTTGTATTTTCTGTATTTATTCCTGCAATGCACTGATCAGAAGAGTAACGAACACACATTTAAGTTGTGTATTAGGATGTTATTAAATCCCTAGTCTTTGTTACCACTCTCAGAACAAATATTTTTCCTCTGATTCTGTGGAAGTGGAAAGGCATACCTGTAAAGAACTGCCTGAGTACGTTTCAGTTGTTGCGGAGGGTTAATCTTTCCTCAGTGCATTTACCAAAGAAAAAGTGGAAATTTGCAGATACGCCATTGAAGTACCATTATGCTTTAAAAAAAAAAAAACACCAAAACCTCAAAAAACTAACCAATGAACCAACCAACTGAAAGACAGTAAAGCATGTGCTAGCTTGCTTAAAAGATGATCCTGTCTGTATTTTCAGTGGAGAGAAACTGATTTGGCTTTCCTTCCTTCCCAGATTCTCTCATTAATACAGTCTAAGCTTAAACTGGACCAGTCTATCCAAAAGACAATCTAAGATTCATCCTAAGCTATTTAATTGTAACTAGTTTTGCTTGTATTTGCTTGAAGTGAGTGGCTTGCATCTGACTAAGCAGAGGTTTGAGTTTCTGGAAAACGTTTCTGTCTTGATGTGAAGATTATTAAGAGATCCACCAGATGGTAATTTCTTAGTTTAGATAATTTCTTAATTTAGGCATTGATTTTTGTCATGCTGAATTTGAGATTGCACAGACCTGCATGCATTGATAAGGGAGGGCTTCTTCCCAAATTTTCATAGTGGTAAGAGGGAAACAGCATTCTTTCTCCAGCTTTTCACTGACTATAGGGAAGAAAGAGCAAAGTGATACAGAAATGTTTCTACATGTTCCTGTTCCTTCTTTTTCCACTCTCGTCACTTACTACTCAGCTAATAGTCACTATATAATCTCAGAATGGTTGAGGTTGCAAGGGACCTCTGGAGGTCACCTAAAGCCAATTGCCCAGGAACATGTCCAGATGACTTTTGAAAATCTTCAAGGACAAAGACTCCACAACCTCTCTGGGCAACCTGTGCCAGTGCTTGATCACTCTCAAAGTAAAAAAGTCTCCTGATGTTCAGATGGATTCCTGAAGGTTGATGTTGCTAGTAAAGACTGTGGCAAAGAAGGCATTCAGTACTTCAGCCTTCTCCGTGTCTTGTGTAACCAGGTCCACAATCTTACTTGGCAGTTGGCCCGCTTTTTCCCCAGTCTTCCTTTTGTCACCTATGTACTTACAGAAGCCCTTCTTGTTGTCTTTGACATTTCTTGACAGGTTCAAATCCTTCTGGGCTTTAGCTTACCTATCCTCATCTCTGAATGACTGGACAACGTCTCTATTCCTCCTAGGATACTCAACCTTGCTTCCACCCTCTGTATGCTTCCTTTGTGTTTGTTTGGCCCGGAGCTCCTTGTTCATCCACACAGGTCTCTTGGCTTTTTTGCCTGACTTCCAACTCTTTGGGATGAACTGCTCTTGAGCTTGGAGAAGATTGTCTTTTAATATTAACCAGCTTTCTTGAGTCCTTCTTTCCCCTAGGTCCTTATCCCATGGGACTCTTCTGAGCAGATCTTTGAAGATGCCAAAGTCTGCTCTCCCGAAGTCTAGGGTTGTGAGCTTGCTTTTTGCCCTGCTCCCTTCCCTCAGGATCCTGAACTCCACCATCTCATGGTTATTGCAGCCAAGGTTGCTGTGCTGGGTTTATATGGAGGGGTTTTGGTAGCAGGGGAGGGACTACAGGAATAGCTCCGGTGAGGAGTTGTGAGAAGCTTCCCCGGCTCAGTCGGACCTACCTCTGGGCAAGGCCGAGCCCATCAGCACCTCTGTGAAAAAACATATTTAAGAAACCTGCACCATGCAGGACCTGCAGCGAAGGGAGGGAGGAAGTGGGGGCCTGGCTCCTGGCCTCTCACACGGGCAGCTGTCTGCGCTGGGCCACCACCACTCTGCTGGGCAGAGTTCGTTCCTACTGGGACTGCTGAAGTTCATTGGGGCAGTCAGACCCAGTGTGGCTGCAGTGGAGAGACGACTGAGATCTGAGAGAAACAACTACGCAGACACCCAGGTCAGTGAAGAAGGAGGGGAAGGAGATGTGCCGGACCTGAGATTCCCCTGCAGCCTGTGGTGAGACGGCAGGTGGCCCCACTGCAGCCCATGGGGATTAATGGTGAAGCAGAGACCCACCTGCAGACCTTGGAGGACTCCATGCTGAAGCAGGTGGCTGTGCCCAAAGGATTTCGTAGAGGAGCGTCTCCCGTGGGAAAGGACCGCACACTGCTGAAGATTAATGGTGGAGCAGAGACACATCTGCAGTCTGTGGGGAACCCCACGCCAGGGCAGGTGGCTGTGCCCTAAGAAGCCATGGCTCTGTGGGAAAAAGCCTATGCTGGCACAGTCTGATGTGTAAGGACTAGATTCTACAGGAAGGCCTCACATCAGAGAAGTTCATGGAGGACTGTTTCCCGTAGGAAGGATCTCCATGCTGGAGCAGGGGAAGAGTGTAAGGACTCCTCCCCCTGACAAGGAGGGAGCAGCAGAAACATCATGTGATGAATTGACCTGCAACCCTTATTCGCTGTCCCCCTGCACCGCTGGTAGGGAGGAGGTAGAGCTGGGAAGAAGAGAGGAGTAGAGGAGTGAGGGGAAGGTGTTCTTAAGATCTGGCTTTGTTTTTTGTTATCCTCTCTGAATGTGATTGGTAATGGATTAAATCGATTTGTCCCCGAGTTGAGTCTGTTTTGCCCCACGGCCATGGTTGGTGGGTGACTCCTCCCTGTTCTCATCTCGACCCTCAGGCCTTTTGGTACATACTTGTCCCCTCCACCCCACTGGGGGGTGGGGGTAGGGGGTGTTGGGGAGGAGTGAGTGAGCAGCTGTATGTTGCTTAGTTGCCATCTGGGCCTAAACTATGACAGCTGGCTTTGACCTTCATATCCCCAACAAGCCCCTTGTTGTTGGTCAGTATGAAGTCCAGCAGAGCACCAGTCCTCATTGGCTCCTCTATCACTTGAGTGAGGAATTTGTCATTGAGGTACTCCAGGAACCCCCTGGATTGCTTATGCCCTGCTATGTTGTCTGTCCAGTAGATATTGGGATGGTTGAAGTCCTGCATGAGGACCAGGGCCTGCAAATGTGAGGATGCTCCTATCTGTTTGTAGAGGGCCCATTCCACTTGTTCTTCCTGGTCATATTGCCTATAGCAGACATCCGTTACAATGTCACCCCTATCTGTCTTCTCTTTAATTCTTACCCATAAGCTCTCAGTTGGCTCCTCGTCTATCCTCAGACAGAGCTCCATGCACTCCAGCGGCTCTTTCAAAGAAAGGACAACTCTCCTTGTCTTCCCAGCCTGTCCTTGCTAAAGAGCCTGTATCCCTCTGTTGCAGCACTCCAGTCCTGGGAACCATCCCACCACATCTCTGTGATCCCAACGTGACTGTAGCCCTGCAGCTGCACACAGATCTCTGACTCATGCATGACAACATGCTTATTGTCCATACTGTGTGCATCAACGCAGGGGCACTTCAGAGAGGCCCCCCAGCATGGTGATTTCCTGGAAAGGGTTTTGAGGATTCCTCCATAATGGTGCCCTGTAGGCACTTCCACACTCACATGCAAAATGCTGGTGATGATCCCAGTTGAGCCCCATTTTCTTGATTTTGTGATCCCTTCCTGTCCCATCGTCTCAGGCCCTTTGTTCATTGACCCCGTCCGTTGCTCTATCTCAGGGCTGCAGTTCGGAACTGACTGCGTGGTGGGCAGTTAGAGCTTTGGCCCTCAGGCAAAATGGAGCTATGGACTTACTGGGCTGTGTCGTCTTCATGCTTGTGTTTACAATACAGATGATACCTTTGCTGGGTAATCACATAAATAGGGCCCAGTTTCACCTACTGTGGGGTCTGGAGTCACCCTCGTGAAATGGAAGTGCTATTGGGCCCCAAAAGCGGGACATGTAGGAGAGAGAGATTCCTGTATTTTGATCTCCTGTGACGTGGTGAATCTGAAAGACGACCGAAAGGTGATGCAAGAGAGGGAACATGAGGCCCTTGGGTGTGAGGTGGGTGAGCTCAGATGGGCAAAGTGGGGATTGTGGAAACTTAAAGGATGAAGACAGATGATTTGCAGGGAAGAGCAGAGGCTCGGAAAGTTTGTCTTTAAAAGTCACTTCTAGAAATTAGAAGCCATGATCAGGCATGTCAGTTGGTGGATAACGAATGTAGGCAACACAGCA